CAGCACTTAATGATTCAGACCTCTTACTGGTTCAACACTTACCTATTCAGAAGTTGTCAAACAGCCTCTTAGCTTTTAACGTGTACCGTAAAACGGATTGCATTTGAAGGATTAATGAATACTTTAAAAAACTACTTATGAACTTTTGAAATTTAAAGGACTACATTTGGAGGTTGATGAACACATGAAGGACTATTTATGGACTTTTGAAATAGGAAGGATTAATCGTGCACCGCTCATAAAGTTGAAGGAGCAATGGTAGATTATTTTAGCCTAAAAAGGATATGCATATATTAAAATTCTTCATCTAAAATTTGTAGTACACATGTCACCTTTAAATTTTACAAGGATTGTTTTGCTCATTTATATTAGTTTGCTAGACACTAATCTCTATTACATTATGCAGCAATACTTTTGTTTTGCAATCAATCAAATTACTAAAAATTTCATGGAAAACTATTAATTTAAAGACCAAATTAAAAGATGTACGCATTTGTTTGCAAATATATATGCAAAAATATTAAAATGATTATGGAACAAATATTTCATATAGCAACAACTATAGTCAATAATTAATTAGACATAGCAATCGTGTCAATCAGTTCAATTCGGATCTTACGTTCGAGTCTTCTTCATATATATATATATATATATATATATATATATATATATATATATATATATATATATATATATGTTATAAACGGTTCAGATCGGTTCGTTTCGGTTCGGTTTCAAGTTTCATTCGATCGGTTTGATTTTTGTGTTTCGATTCGGATTTATATCGGTTCGGGTTTATATCAGTTTGGGTTTATACCAGTTCGAAATTGTACCGTTTCGGTTTTATATCGGTTCGAGTTTATTCAGGTTTCGGATGAGATCTCTTGGTATTAAGATTCCTAACGTTAGCCTTGCATGTAGCCTCCCCTCCCTAGGTGTAAAGGGGGGTATATATACAAGTGTCACCAATAATAGGTCAGTATATATCCATCAATGTGTATTACAATGTCACTATAAATTTGTATATATTCTGTATAAATATAAACAACTATTTTAGTTTAAGTGATAAAATACGGAGTAAGAGATTTGTACATGAAAGCAATTGTACATATAATTCATATATATATATATATATATATATATATATATATATATATATATATATATATCTGTGTGTGTGTGTGTGTATATATATATATATAACTCAATTTGAATTAATTTTTTTTATTTGATCAATATCAGGTCTAATCAGTTTCAGGTTTAATTGATTCTAGTTTAAATACGTTCGGGTTCAATCGGATTCGGATTTGAATCTGGTGTGAGTACATTTGGTTTAGTTAGAATCATTTCGGGTGTTTGTTTATAATTTGGTTCTTGAGTTTTCGAGTCATTTCAGATTCAGTTCTGAGTTATTCGATTCAAATTATTGGGTTCGGGTCTATTTTACAGGTATAATAATTATGTATAAAGTTTAAAGAAATTTACCTAAATATGACTAAAACATAATGACTTTCCCAATATAGGATCATATGTTTTTATTTCCCAATGTAGGATCTTTGGTCATTATCAAGTAGTCATTATTTAAGTAAATGTCTATCATTACTGGACATTATTCTTCCCACTAGGTCATTATTAAGTCCTATTTAGGGAATAAAAAAGTTTAAGTCCAACATTAGAAAAGTCATTATGTTTTAGTCTTATTTAGTGCAAATTTTACTAAAGTTTATAATAAGAAATATCCTATATAGGAGTAAAAAAGTATGAAAATACCAAAATAGAAGTCCTGATTCTTTAAAAGTCAAAATAGGAGTAAAAAAGTATAAAAATATCAAAGAAGGAGTCCTAAATCTTTTAAGTAAAAATAAGAGTATAATGATTAATGGCAGTATATTGTAAGAGCACGCATTGGCAGTGTATTGAAAAAGTGATGACAATGTAATATGTTAGTGTGATCAGTTAACCGTCGGCGACCAAAATGATCAGCAGCGACAGATGACAGTGTGGCGGCGACAGATGACAATGTGGCGGTAGTAGTATGGAAGTTACAAATAACTTACAATCAGTGGCGGATCTAGAAATTCAGGTAGATGGGGGCACAAATGGTCGGGGCAGCGCCCCTGATTTTTTAAAAAAATAGACAATTTAAAATGAAAAAAATAATAAATTTTATTTTAAACATTTATTGAATGTAAATTTTTATTTAATCGGTAATATAAAATTTTATTTTAAATAATAAATTAAATGCAATAAAATACACTTTACTTCAATAAAATTAAACAAAACAATTAAAAACTAGTTTAATTAAATTAAGTTCCATTCATTTTTGTAGGGAGTAAATAATTTAAGATGGGGTCAATCCTAATTTTAGATGGGGGCTTGCACCCCAAATCATAAGAATTTAATTTTTTTTAAAAAAAAAATTAACTTAGCACCAAAATTTAGTTGGGGGCATTGACCCCCAATTATTTACTAGTGCATCCGCCCCTGCTTACAATGTGACAATATGGTGAGTGTGACAGTGTAACAATGAAAGTATTAACTGTTAACTCCTGTTTTAATCTTTGAAGACTTATGACTTCTATTTTGATATTTTCATTGTTTTTACCCTTATCTAGGGAGTTATCCCATATAAGAGTGTTCACACTCTCAAACATCCATAAATTGAAATTATGCATTGACATTTCATGTTACTTTTAGTTAATATTTGACTTTTTAATTTTGTTTTTTGTATAAAAACATTATATATTACTTTCGGGATGGAGCTCATCTTTTTTTTTTATAAAGAATATACTATCTCCGTCCCACTCTCTTTTTCCACTTTTGACTTTTGAAACTGTTCATCTAATCACTTTGACTCATCAAATTCTCTCAATGTGTAAGCCTAAATATAGTCATGTGTGATCTTGTTTGATTTGTCTTAACATATAGATTATTAATATATAATTTTTATAATTTTTTAATATACAAATTACAAGATAAAATAAATTAAAGAAGTGCATTGGATGGTGTGCTAAAAGGTAAGTGAACAAAGAGTGGGAGGGAGGTAGTATTAAATTGGAAGTCCATGTCATGAATACCTCGGGCGTCTTTCACAATCAAGCGGCTAAAAATGACTCCGTATTAAACTGTACTCGATCGGGTACGATCGAATTTAATAATCTACATTTTTTGGTGCGTTGAATCCATTTGGTTATGTGAACGTTACAGCTTTGCTAAAAGATTGACTAATCTTTGATTGTGTTGAACTTAGAAAGACTTTTGCCGGATTGATTGACTTTTTTTAATTTAAAAAAATTATTTAAAGAGTTTGGAGTAATGAATTCGACTAGTAATTTAATTTTCTATTCTAAAAAAAAAAAGAAATTTTAATAAATATTTAAGTTACACACCAATAATTTCGTATGCAATAACAGATATCCTCCGGCTTTGGTTTAGTATTTTACTCTCCCCGTCACAGTTTAAGTTCTTTATTTACTATTCACATTATCAATTATTAATCACTTTCTTTACCTATTTTTGTTACTCATTTTATAAAATAATATAATCATTTTACCTCTAATTTTATAGATTTTTTATGTAATTTTTAAATATATAAATTATATATTTTCATTTTGTACTAATTTTCTAATAAAATTAATTGAAAGTAATTTAAACTACGGCGAAAGGATAATAAATTTAGCAAAACGATTACTTCCTCTGTCCGGAAATTTTCTTCCCGTGTTGACTTGGCACGCTTATTAAGGAATAGTAAAAAAATGAAAAATTTTCAAAAATGCACATACTATAAACTTTTAAATCTCCTTTTATTATTAAAAAAGTATTAAAAAAGTAGATTTGTGATAAAATAGAAGGGTATTATTGATATTTAGCCTTAAAAAGCATACTAAAAAAGGAAATGGGAAGATTATTTCCAGACGGACCAAAAAGGAAAATGGAAAGAATATTTCCAGACGGAGGGAGTAATAAGTTACCGAATTTAATGAGTGAGGACAATCAAGAATTAGTAAAAAGACACTAACCACACAAGATTAGTTGCAATAAATAAGGCAGACTTATTATCCCAAAAAAGGATGAGCATAAACAAGAGGCACACCAGAGTGGCAAGCAAGCCCTGCAATCAATGAATTTCGGCACAAGTATTAAATTAGCCATTGTTCAATATTCTGTCTTGGTGGATTACCTAGACACAATGACTTGTTTCTTTTCCTTCTACAAAATCGGATAACCACTCAACAAAGATGAAATTTACAGAGCACCTAGTTAATTAGAGGAAATTGAAGTATTTTGGGACGCCACATTGTTTGGGCCATAAATTTAGCTACACGTGTTTGATTACAGCGGGCTACCCCTTTCCGGAAAGCTCTTAGCGAGTTGCTCAAGAGTCCATTTGTCGAAGACCCATCGAGGTCCATCTTCGACCCCAAATTCAACTGTTTAGCCCATTAAACTTGCACTTTTGTTATTTTGGGCATTTTCTTTTCGTTTTAGGGTTTCCTACTTGATTTACAGTTCTGAGCTATAAAAGCCCGAGTTGTGGGCAGCTTTATTAAAAAAAGAAATATTTGCACTAAATAGCACTAAAACTTAAGTCATTTTTCTAAATAGCACTCAAACTATTTTATTCCTTAAATAGCACTTAATAATGTCCAAAATGTCCAGTAATGGCGAATATTTACTTGAATAATGACTAATGCAAAATGACTAAAAGACACATTGGGAAGAAAAACACAAGTGGTGCTATTTAAGTAAATTTCTTAAAATTAAAACTCAATAATTTTCTTCATCAATACGAATAAACCCTAGAGAGAATTTTTTCCTCAGCTTTATTAAAAAAATGAAAGTTGAAAGTTGAAACATTTCCTTTTTGTTTTGTTTTTTCTTTACCCATGTTACACACCTCGTCTTCAACGGGCATTTCCCCATTTGTCACTTTGTAGCCATTTCTTTTGCCACCAATTATTATCACCAATGCATATAAATATAAGAGCCCTCCCTATACACTGAATATATCATTCCCTCATGTGATCCAATCGCCATTTATTATAAATTATAAAAATCATTAATGAAGGGCGGCGGCGGCGGCGGCGGCGGCGGCGGCGGCGGCGGCGGCGGCGGCAAGAATAGGACCAGGCATCCGGTGTACAGGGGAGTTCGGATGCGCAGCTGGGGTAAATGGGTGTCGGAGATTCGCCAGCCCCGGAAGAAGGCTCGGATCTGGCTCGGGACTTATCCCACGCCGGAGATGGCGGCTCGGGCTCACGACGTGGCGGCGCTCGCTCTCAAGGGCGACTCCGCCGCCCTCAACTTCCCCCACCTCGTCGGATCCCTCCCGCGACCCGCATCCGCCTCGCCCGCCAACGTCCAGGCCGCCGCAGCTAAGGCGGCTGCCATGGATGAGCTTCGCCCTGGGTGCTCGTCGCCATCGGCGCCGGCGTCAGACGATCTCGGTGAGATCTTTGAGCTTCCCAGCTTAGACGAGGCCTGCTTCGACTCGCCCGATGAGTCGAAGGTCCAATTGGGTGTCCTTGACTTGTCCGAGAGGTGGGGATTCCTGCCGCGGTGGTTGCCGGACGATGGATTCTCCGGGCAATTTTTCGATGACCCGGCGGGTGGAGAGGCTGTCAATCCGGTCAGCTGTTTTGACTTTTGAGGATGTATTTTATTGAATTTAGTGATTGTATTTTACTGTAATTTTTTTATTTTATTTTTAGCGTTTTGATTTAATGAAATTTGTACCAAAATATACTTCTTATTCATTGTTCACAAAATTAAACTTTATTCACTTTATCAGTCTATTTTTGTTACTTACTCCCTCCATCCGAAAATATTCTTCTCATTAAAACACCCATTAATGAGTATCAATTTTGTACAGTCGTTCTCACTTGTATTTGTATTCAACTAAGCCTCTCCACTATAAATAGAGGCTTAATCCCTGCATTGTGGTGACCATTAAAAATAAGAAGAGTGAAGAGTTAATAGAGAGAAGAAATTAGAAATATATTATATCTATTCTCATAATCTTTGAGTAGTTTTTCTCTCATTTTATAATCGGTTTCGGGTTTTATCGGTTTCGGGTATTATCGGTTTCGGATCTAATCGGTTTCGGGTTTAATCGGTTCGGATATTATCGGTTTCGGTTCGGTTCGGATCATTTTGGGTTTTCGGTTATAGATCGGATCTTCATTTTTCGGGTCATTTCGGTTTCGGTTTCGGATATTTCGGTTCGGATAATCGGTTCCGGTTCTGTTTTGCCAGGTCTATCTGCAAGCACCAGATGCAGACTCCACTACGTGCCACCAATTTACGATTAAAGTCCAATTTACTTCCTCTCAGAGGTTGTCCAACCGCGTCTAAAGGAGGCCTTGGGATGGGACTCATCCTTTTTTTTTAAGAATCGAAGCTTAGGAAATCAACAATGTTTTGAGCCACATGAACTATAAAATGATTCAATCAAACATACATATCTATCAAAAACACACCAAAAAAAACTAATACTCCTAAAGACCATCTATTGGGATCGACCATTTCAACGAAATCCAACAAGGAAACATCATCTTTCTACGCACACATCAAACTTAAATATTTTTGATTTGGTTGTTTGTTTGTTCTCTGGGATTAAGCTAACAACCGCTTGAACTCCGACTTCTTGGCTAACCTTAAATCAACAATGGCAGGAGGAGTCGGTTCTAGGCATCCATGCATCTCCACCAGCTCAGAGAACTCTTTCTTAGTGAGGTTTTTCTTCTGAACCAGTTGATCCACGACAGCCTCCATCAGTTTTCTGTTTTGCTGAAGTATCTGTAAGACAATGAGTGAGGTTATTGTGTTAGCAAGGCACTGTCTGGTTTTTAAGATCTTATGATGATTCATGGTACTAAATACCTCTTTTGCTCGGCCATAACACATGTTAAGGATCCGTAACGCCTCTTCATCAATTCCCTGAAAAACATTTGTTAGAAACACACTATTCAACTATTATGACGGATTCTGTCCTCAACGTTTAATCAGAAAGGAATCCAAAATTTTGCATTTTCAATCTATCTTAACGAGAGAGAGAGAGAGAGAGAGACTTGCATTTATTTTATCTGAAACCCAGAAGTTGGGCAAACCATAATCTTTATCCGAAAGACCGCCAAGAACACAAGTCCTTGCGGCAGACCGTGCATTGTTTGCACTCTCAGCCCATATTGTGCTCAGCTGGAATAGTAAAGTATGTTAGATGCAAAAATCTTTTCAAGTACTTAAGATTTTTCTTCAATTTTCTAAAACAATTCACAGACACAAAAAGAGCTTAGGCTATGTGATCTAACAACACATTTCACTTTATAACCTCTTAACGTAATATGGAGCAAGATAGTGCAGTGTCCAAAATAAATGATAGAGATGTTCTTACATGGCCTTCTCCATACCAGAGCTCATCAGCTGCGCGTGGTGCCAGTTGAACAGTTATGTGGTCTATGAAGGTTTGCCGGCTGCATAATAGTAGTAATATTTTAAAAAAGTGAATGATTGCGAGATTTATGTTGGTGATCAAACGGAAGTAAATCATACAGACAAACTCCACAATTGATATAGACCTCAGCATTCCTTCCTTAAATTTGATATCATCCATTTTCATTCGTACATAGCCTAATTCCGTGCCAGCTCGTGGAGCAATGGTGATCTTCTCATGTCAAGTATTAAAACATCATCAGTATTAGTATATGCACACACACACACACACAAGATCTAGAGTAGCTACAAAAACAAGGATACCCAGTAAATTCACTCAAAAGTAGGGTATGGGAGCAAGATGTACAGACCATACAAATATGGCTATACCAGTAAAGAATATAGAACCTACTTGGCTACATCCAAGGGGACCCCCAAGGCCCCAAAAACAGTGACACGTGCTGTGAGTAATGTAATAAAAAAAAAAGAGCACGAAACATGAAACACGAACTCTAGGGAAACTACCCTAGCGATACTTGACATAATGAAAAAATGGCTTAAATGTGTTTTGTTTTTTGTCCAACTCCGTCAATCTCTAGTGTTGCCTCTTGGAAACAACCTCTCAACTTTTGAGTAGGGGCAAGTTCTGCATACACACACCCTCCCCAAACCCTACTCTCGTGGGATCCAATTGGGTTGTTGTCCCTATCTAGCTTTTTCAAGTCATATTTTAATTCAAGAGCCATAAGGTGTGAAATAAAAATGGAATGGTTAGTTTAGGTATCCCTAACTCCTCTAATAGTGATCGATGAGTTCAAGACAGTTAATGTGAAAAGGCAAGACTCTCACATCAGGTTTTTTAGGGGAGATGGAGAAAAAAAGAAGCCAGCAATAATTACAGAAATGAATTTTAAAAAATACATGGATCTAAAACAAAAAAGTGGTTAGAAGAATGAAAAAATCAATATTTAAGACAATAATTTGAATGGAGTTCTCATTGCCATTTTCATCGTACGAATTGTGACTGTGCTAGTCTGTATTTTGGTCCTCCATGTATCACTTTGTTCCGTGATTCAATTGCACCAATTGAGACTCTAACATTTCTACCCGGTTAAAATTGGGTCCTAAAATTTTAATGGTGGGGGGGGGCATGTGTGGCACTAATACCTAAGAGCATGAACTGCTTACTGAAGTGGATGAGTTAAAGTAGAGAGCATTACAAACTCGATGTTCTTGAGATCAGGAAAATTCACAGCAACAACAGCCATAGCTGCTCGATTCACCGCTACTTGCTTCCATTTTTCAAGGCTCCTCTCCTTCCTATCCAACATACCCAGTTCTTCTATTTGTGCAGCTTGTAACAAATCGTCTGTTGTAATCTAAAAAAGCAGCGAAGTGCCCCAAAGTAGCAGAGCGTTGAAGCATTAAAATCAGATCCTACCAAATCCACATGCAGTATAAGTAAAAGTTGATTAACTACAAGGTGGAAACATGTGCAAATTTAAAATTTTTGGCACGGTACAACTTTACAAAGTCTAGAAAGTTTACATGTGCTTTTGTAATTTTTTGTTGGTTGAACTAAACTCATCATATTTATCTAGTTTTTAACTCTCTTTTGGCAAACTACAAGAAATGTTTTTTTAATCAAATAGGACTGTTTTGGAGACAAAAAACTATGGAAGCAACAGAAACATGACTCTTTTTTTGTGTTTTAGGATAAATAGAGTAATAAACCCGTCCCAAAGCAAAAGACACAGTTACTAACACTTTTTTTGTGTTTTAGGATAGATAGAGTAATAAAGCTGTCCCAAAGCAAAAGACACAATTACTATTCGGTCAAACTATATCTTTTTCCTTGACATATTCTCATCAATGATTTTGGGGACAAAAAACTATGGAAGCAACCGAAACGTGACTCTTTTTTGTGTATTAGGATAGATAGAGTAATAAACCCGTCCCAAAGCAAAAGACACAGTTACTAACTCTTTTTTGTGTTTTAACTTTTAGGACAGATAGAGTAATAAACCTGTACGAAAGCAAAAGACACAGTTACTATTCGATCAAACTATATCTTTTTCCTTGACATATTCTCATCAATACTTTGGCCAATTAGCATAGTTAGGTCGCCTCTTGTTCTGTAGAACTTCTGATGTACGTTTAAATATACTCCATTACAAAATGATTTTCTGCATTTGACTTTCATGGATTTTAAATAAAACTATTGAAAAGTGAAAAATGAGGGATTAGAAATTGATGAGAAGAGAGAAATTTTATTAGCCACATTTTGTTACCTTGAAAGAAAAGTGAAGATTATTTTGGGACGGGCAAAAAGGGAAAGAAGGAAGATTATTTTGGGACGGAGGGAGTATACATTTTAATTTTTATTTATAAACCAATTTTGAAATAAATAGAATTGAAAAAATAAATTCAATTAATCATCGTAAATCGAAGTGTCTTTTATTTTGGGACTTGGAGTATAACTCATGGGTTCAAAAGCCAATACCTCAGTTCTTCCCTCCCTCATCATACCAATAGCAGAAACCTCAATGATGTTGGCCAACTCTGCACCGACCATTCCATCTGTCACTCTGGCAACAGCCATATAGTCCACATCTGGATCCATTGGTTTCTTACGAGCATGTACCTATTACAAGAAATGTATTAAATATAAAACTGGACAAAGAATAAATTGGAAGAAAAAATGAACTGAAGGATAAGAACTAAATATAGTAATAATAGCAACCAATCACACATAAAAATGCCACACCTTCAAAATTTCAATTCGGCCTATAAGACCAGGTTTTGGAATATGAATTTTCCGGTCAAACCGTCCGGGTCGAACAAGGGCAGGATCTAGAATGTCTGGTCTATTTGTAGAGGCAATTGTAATAACTTCCCCTTTTCCTTCAAAACCATCCAAGCACACAAGAAGCTGTAACAGATTTTAGAAAAATTGTAAGAACCAAAGGCAGCCCATATTCTAATCAGCAAAAAATTGAACAAGTTTAAAAAATATCCAAAACCTGATTCAAGGTGGCATCACGTTCTTGCCCACCAGAACCTTTAATCAAGCCACGTGCCCTTCCAACAGCATCCAGCTCATCAATGAACACGACAGATGGGGCCTAAAACCACATAATAATAAAGATTCATGTTATTAAACTGGGTCAAGCCCCAAAAGGATCCTCAAGATTTGAGGTTTAACTCAAACTAATATACTACACACTCAGTACACAACTAATGTGGATACTCAACATGCCCCAAAAGAATACTCAAAAGGTGAAACTTACCGAATACTCAGTACTTATTTAGAAGACTAGATTCAAACCTGGCAGACAACCGATGTAGATATTGAACACAAACCATTTTAAAATTTCATGGTATACAAGTTTTAAAACAGGGAGTAAATATTGTCACTCCCATGTAATCACACACTTCCTAATTTACCCTTGATATTTTAGTTGGTAACCGAGAGTGCAACATGAAACCCTGGCGGTGAAGAGGATAAATTGCCGGATGGTCTCTACTGTCCCCGCGAACTCACCAGTGATGAGGATAAGTTGCTGGATTAACATCACTTGGCCCAACCCACCACTAGACTCATCAGTCACCTCAACTCTGTTCCTCACAAAGAACTACAATAACACTTGGGAGATTCTAAATTGCCAAGGGATTTTCAATCATATACCGTGTGTGTTAAGATCAGCTTGAGCTGACATTGGAAATTTGTAAGATCAAACTCCCTATCCAATTCTACTCTACAAAGGAGGCTGCTGCAGTGCTGCCACCCTTGTTATTCTTGAATTCCTCTTCGATGCCAGGAGAGGTGAGTTTGAGACAGCAGCATTGACAATAAGATTATCTCTGAGGACCTTGGTGATGCTGAAACCTTGAGGCTGTCAATTCTCCAATGCAATCACATTTATTCTCCAAGGTAGGACCATAGGAGAAGAGGATTTACAGAGAAGACTGAGATATTTTGATGGTGATGTTGGAGTTCCATAAGTAGACGGTGGAAAAATTCATGGATAGATCCCAGGTGATCTTCATGGAGCTGAGAGAGATGAAAGCTAAAAGTGAAAGTCTGAGAGTAGGATGGGAAGGTACAAGTGAGAGTTGGGAGTGATTTTGTGAAGTGTATTGGATATCCCTACGTAGTGTTAGTTGGCTTAAGGGTAAATTAGGATGTATGTGATTACATGAGACTATGGGAGTGATATAAGCCAAATGAGGGCGGCAATATCTATTCCCTTGAAGCAGAAGCTCCAAGACATGATGGCACAAACAAATTTCCAACAACTAAGATGGATATAAATATCATACTAATGCTGTTAATAAAATAATACGGAGTAATATATAAATGCATCTGAATATAGAAATGAGGAGGTGAATTGAGCCAGAATACGCATACGTTTTCCTTCGCCTCTTGGTAGAGTGCTCGAACACGAGAGGCTCCAACACCAACATATATTTCAACAAATTGAGATGCAGAAATGGAGAAGAAGTTCACTCCTGCCTCCCCAGCAACTGCTTTTGCTAGCAATGTCTTCCCCACCCCAGGTGGACCACAAAGAAGTATTCCTCCTAAAGCATTATAGAATAACTAAGCATTAAGATTTAGGGGACATAAATATCCACACTAGAATATCGTGGAAAAGGATGTGAGGGAGAAAGAAGTAAAAGCTGGTAAAACAATCTCAAATCATAATTCTATAAACATTATATTTCAAAAACATTGCAGCACGCGACGAGGTCAAACTCAAACAGAAAAACTATTGTAAAGAAAGATTTATAACGATGATTATCTTAAGTTAGAGCCTTTCATGGAGTCATATCTAAAGAGTGGAAACTGGAAATTATGCAAAATTAATGCTCTCTGCAATTCTCAATAAGACAGAAAAAAATTAGGAAGCAGTCAGTGTTTGACAATTTCAAATTGTTGCTGAAGAGTGTAATGGGAAAATACAAATCGCAAAATAGAAGGAAATATACATCCAAACAATCAGGGATTAAAAATGGTAATGTTGCTAAAATAATAGTTGAGCATGCTATCATTACATTTTAAACCGCCAGCAGGTGAAACCAACTACAAGTCTACAACTTCGGTAAGTTTTAGCAAACCAAAAAGGATATCATTGGTACCGAAATCGGAAAATTTATTTCACATGATTAGGCTAAATGAAAGAATTAAAACAGGCAAATAGACTATTATATAGACAGCAACTAATAAAGTGATTAGGTGGCAGATTTATAATTATGAGGAGCTAGAAGTTTATAACCTTGGTGCAAAACCATGTTTGATTAACTATACAGTTTGAAAAAAATGACAAAAGTTCAATAGAACTTTTACCTGGTATTTTGACTCCTCGCCTGCGATACATATCCCCGTGGGTGAAAAACTTCACAATCTCCTCAAGCTCAAGCCTAATCTTCCCAAGCCCAGCAACGTCGGAGAACTTCACATCCACATCTGCTTCTAAATACTGAGGAACCCTCTTACTACGAGCCCTTCGGACACGAGCACCAGACTTCATGAATTTCATTGCCATCTTCATATATTGGTTTTCTTCACTTTTTTGTCCTTCCTCCTCTTCATCGCTGTCCTCGATCCCTTCCATTTCTCTTTCCAATTTCCTAATTTTCTTTTTTTCATCAGCTTCTGCTTGCTGTATTTTTAATCTATCCTCATAATCCTTCTTCTGTTTTCTGTAACTTAACACAACAGTTCTATAAAATATGAAGAAGAAGAGGAACCCAAGGGCTGTAGTAACAGTATAATCACCAGCTAAGTCACCCCACATCAATGACATCCTTTGAGAAGTCACCGCCGCCCTTCGTAATGATTCCTCATGCTTGGCTTGCTGAATCTCCCTCCTCTTCCTCTTCTCTTCCATCTTCTTTTGCATCTTCATTTCCTTTTCCATCATCTCCCTCTCTCTCCTCACATTATATATCTCCTCATTTCTGCTCTTCAGAATCTCTTCTCTTGCCCTCTTCAACTCTAATGCCTTCTTTGATTTTGGTTTAGCAGGTTTCGAAAACAAAAACCTCCAAGCTGGGATCTTTTCTAAGAACCCCAAAGAAAGGAAGCCGGACTCCCGAATTTTCTTCTTCAAAGGCGGGGAGTAGGCATTCATACAAAGACCATCTATCTTCAACTCGTCCCATTGAGACCAAAACTTGGGATCAGTCTCTGATGAAGGCAACACAATCCTAACAACCCTAGAATCATCCAACACAGCCAAAACAACCTCAGGCCTCTGTTTCAACCCCACACTGGGAGGTTTTATTATATGCTTAAGCTTACCTTCCCTCTTCAAATCCAAAATCTCAGTATAGGGAAGCCTGCGGGTGATGGTGGGGAGACCTTGGGACCATTTCTCCAACTCCTGGGAGGTTAAAGCATCCGGCCGTTTAGGGACACGCTTCCTGTCGGAGACTTTGCTAGCCGCTAATGAGGGCTGGGCCAGAGAAGCTGAAATTACAGTTAATGTTACAGATAGGTTAAGGAAATTCAACCGATTTCGACGGACATTCGATTCATCGCCGGATTCCGAGTTTCTGAGATTGCAGGAAACTCTTAGTCGAATAGAGACGTTTGGATGGTTCGAATTGGTGAAGAAAGGGGGAGAGGGAAGGAATGAAGAAGAGAGGGCGCTTCTACCGGTCATGGTGATTGTGAGTGACAATGGAGAAGCGAATGTTTGAGAGAGTTACATGTTTTCTAAAGCAAGACGGTCTCCATCTCCTCCATTTTGCAGCTTAACAATGTCTTCCGCATGAACAATGTGGCGGTGGAGTTGATGGACCACCGGTTAACGGTGGTCGCTGTGATTTCAAGGTGGTGCTCCGACGATGGTAAGTGGAAGTGTGGCGGTAGTTGATAGCTAACTCTCCCATCCCAGTCTATAAAAATGCTTGGGGTACACCAATTTTTGTACCGTACCCCCTCCATCTCCACCACATAAAAGTAAGAAAAGAAAAAAAAATTAAAAATATAAAAGGAAATCTATGACTATGATTGTTGGTGTACAAATGGTGTACGCCTAGCATTCCTCTTTCTTTTATCCTTCATCAAATTTTTTAAACTTAAATTAGACATTACAAAAAAAATTATCATATAAATTTAATATCAATAAATTTATTTAAAGTTATATTTTTTTTTGGACCATTTCTCGATTTGTGCTAATCTTCTCTATATTGTTCCAATTTTATCGGATGTCCCTAAAGGGACAATAAATTTATTTAGAAATATAATTTGAAATATTACTTGTAATGCTCGTATATTTTTTAATAAGTGTAATACTTCGTATATATTTATATATAAATAGAATATAAATAGATATATTAATGATCAAAATTTTGTATTGAACCTTTGTGTAGAATGTTCGTCCACTTTGTCATGCATATGAGGATACGGTTCCCTACATGTTAGAGCAGTGCACGTTTGTGAGGAGACTCTGATGTGCTTTAGATTTGGGATGGTTTACATGGTATTGGCTCATCGCTATCTTGAATCTCATTAGTCCCAAGGATTAGTTCTTGGCCCTAACAATGTTGTGGTTTCTATAGAGTGCTCGAAATTCTATTCTTTGGATGAACGAACATCCATCACCATACAATAGATGGTTAGAAGCAAAGAATCTTTTTACAAGTTTGTGGGCGATTTGCTCAAACTAAGTCAATGTCAATGTTTCGTTGGAACTGACTGATGGTATGATAGGTATTGACTTTTTTGTTCGGTATCATAATGACATCTTTATTACGTCAAAAAATATGTGTTTTCAAGGAAGTTAAAGAAAGAGGTTGGGTAAGCGACATACATGGCTTTGAGTTAGATGAAGTCAAAAGGGTGGCCAAATGAAGTGGTTTAGCATCTATACTCTAATGACTCGTATTGCTCTTAATTCGTTACATTATTGATGATTGTAAAAAGAGAAATTTACCTAAATAGGACTAAAACATAATGACTTTCCCAATATAGGACCATATGTTTTTATTTCTCAATGTAGGACTTTTGGTCATTATCAAGTAGTCATTATTCAAGTAAATGTCCAGCATTACTGGACATTATTCCTCCCACTAGGTCATTATTAAGTCCTATTTAGGGAATAAAAAAGTTTAAGTCTTACATTAGGAAAGTCATTATGTTTTAGTCTTATTTAGTGCAAATTTCACTTGTAAAAACCTTTATACTGAATTTAGCAAAGATTTATTAGCATGGACTTCTTATGTTCCACAGAGCCGTGGAGAGTGGATTTGTTCTCCCCCTATTTTTATTTCTTCAGTTATATGAGTATTTTTTTAATAAAAGAAATTTGTTCAAAAATAATGAGACAGAGAAAGTAGCACACAAAAATTATGATATGATAGAGTCCAGCTTTCGACAGTGCTTCAATTAAAAAAAGAGTAAATTCCATAATTGGTCCTTTATAACAGGGGGTTTCCATATTTAGTCCTCTATTATCAAATATTACCCTCGTAGTCCTTTTTTTAAGGGTACCTTTCCAAAAATGGTCCTTTTTTTGATCTTCTGCCGTGTTGGTGTTAATTTAAAGGCTAAAAGTATAATTTGACGTCAACATTATGTTTAGCGACGTGTTCTGATATTGGTTAAACAGATAACACAAAAATAATGATTATGATTGTGGGCTAGGATTCTGACGAAAGATCACATTTGTAGATTATAGTTGTCGTAAAAAGCGACTGTAATTCACAAACGACGCAAACAGAACAGCCTTTGGTATTGTGTATGACAAAAAAGATATATTATCATTGTGAAATTACACTTTTAGTCCTCAAATTAACACCAACATGATAGAAGATCAAAAAAGGACTATTTCTGGAAAGATACCCATAAAAGAAGGACCACTTGGGTAATATTTGATAATAAAGGACTAAATAGGGAAACCCTCATGTTATAAAGGACCAATTATAGAATTTACTCAAAAAAAACATTTAAAAAAAACAGCTCACATCTGTTTAATAAATTTTGGACCATTTGGACAATTCAATGAGTTGTAACAATAATACATTAGATCAAACATCTCAACCACGTTTGATTTCTCACAAAGATACATGTGCCGGAAGTACAATTTGAAATACCCCAACATTAACTTTAAACAAAAAAACATGGCAAAATACACTGATGGAGTGTGGGGAGGACTTAGACACCAAACATCAAGTCCATAACTTTGGACACTACAGACTTGGTTGGTTCCGCAACGCTTCCAGCAGAATGCCTTCCACCATTGCTGCCGCCATTCTGAAGGAAGTGTGACGTTCGGAAGGAGGGGATGGGGTCTGGGGTGGTTTTACCTGACCCTGCGGCAAGTGGGGGTGGTAAAGGTACAAATCCTTGATTGTTGTTGTTCAGCCTTTCATTCAGGGCATGGCGTTGCATGGGATCTACTGGTTTCACTCCAATTAGAAGAACCCCATTTAATTGCATCCCGTTTTTGCTAAGAGCTTTCTGTGCATCGGCATGGTTCTGTGCCAAGGAAACGAAATTATGAGAAATATATAAGAGGTTACCCAAGGTGAAATAGCAAATGAGACAGAAATAGGAAAGAAGTGAAAAGGTTGGATTCACCTCCTTTTCAATTTTCTTCTTAGAGAAGGCATGCATTCTCTCTCAATTTCTACTTATTTCTGTCCTATCAAAACACACACACACACAATCTATCTATTTTTATGTCATTTCTTTTCAATGTTTGATCAAGGTACAATTCTTTACTTTTGGTTAAGTACAACTACCAATCAACCATTCATATGTAATTGGTCCCTTATATTTAAAAAGTGAAAACAAAATTAGTCATAAGGTTACATAATAATTTAAGTTTCACTGACATTGAATATGGGATGAAGATAGATGCATTCTAAGAACATATCACAATGAAATCATCTAAGCTAGAAATATAGAAGCAACCAAAGCTATAAAAAGTTAAACACGATAAAGATAAGCTAAAATTGAGCACCGTGTTAAGCAAAAAATGCTTAACCAGGGAAGGTGACCTTTAAACAACACTAATTTCAAGTAAAATTGGCTTGCATTGCGCTGTTAAGGGTGGAGCAATAGAAGCATATAGATACAATTATACAAAGCATGAGAACAGGAGCACAAGACTGAATAACACTGTCTTGTTTTAATCCAGAGACAATAGTCTATAGAGGCCCTCATGCAATTTTGCAATGTTCATATAATGATACTGCCAGATTTAGCCAGAGTTGAATATGAGAAATAAAATAAAACATGTAATGACAATGGGACAGATAAGAACCTGATACAAAATGTGCATCCAATTAGCACCCCGAGGACCGGGAATGTGTTTCAAAATAAGGCCGCACTTCTCAAACTCCCGCAAAACTAAATTGGTATCGGCAGGAGAAAATCTGCAAATGAGAAGGCATAAGATCATACAAAAAATATGGGCACATAAAATCTATAGCATAGACATATATGTGATGATAAGTGCAAACAAAATCTATACATATATCAAATCCAACAAAACAAAATTAAAAGAATTTAAAGCGCTCATATATCAGAACACAAGAAATCAGTACTCATCCCTTGACAAGTTTCTAATCAAAAGCAATATGAAAGGTGACAGTGAAACAAGTATGCAGCCAATATGAAGTGTGAGTGTGTGACAGTGAAACAAGTGCCATCTAACAAACAATTGTAATCCAGACATTGTCTTACCCATACACAGTGACCCACTCCTCCTCATCCAAGTTACCAAAGGGTATAGAATTCATCTTCATTTCTGGCCTTGCAACTTCCCTCGGCGGGGGTAGTGTTATCAAGGCACCAGGCTGAACCACCCCTTCGACCGGAGAACCCTTTCCCTTATCATCTTGCTCAGGAGTACCACCATGGCCACTCTTAGCAGGCGACCACCAACTCGAGCTAGCAACACCACTATTCTGCCTCTGATTCTGCTCTCTCTTTCCGGATATAACATGTCCATTGCTAGTCTCGGACGTGTTTCTCTTGGGAGTCCAAAAATCCCTAGCCGCACTTTGAACTGGCGTTCTAGGATCTGATTTCCCTTCCGATGAAAGAGGATATTCCGGAATCCCAGGTTCTGGAGAACAGTCAGATCGGTCCTCAAGCGTGAACACAGGTGGTGGTGGGAGATCGGAGCTCGAGAAATTCTCTCGCCATAGAGCCGAAACTGCCGCAGCTTGACCAGGGGTGGTATTATATCTAGCAGAGGATTTCCGGGAAGAAACCGGCGTTGCTAAATCCTGGAAAAACAACGACTGCCTTGTGGATTTCGGCGTCCTATGCACGGTTGAACTCATCTCTCTCCCTCTATATAGTATATACCTGGTAAGACATAACATTCAACATTCATCCCTAGCTCATATAGAAGCAGAAACAAGCAATCCAGAAAACGATGAGTGAAGATGGAGAAGAAATACCTGTGGAATTTCGATATGGAAGGACGGCAGATTTGCAGAATGGAAGCCGAAAGGAAGCTTGCAGAGATCAAGGGATATTCGACTTGGGCGTAATTTCAAATGTTGAGAACGGTACTGAGCCACGGCCCAAACTTTATTGGACCATCTTTTTCGCCATCTTTTAAGCATATGTTCTCTATAAAATGTATCAGTATAAATTATAGGTACGTGCTTCAATTTTTGTCATTAATATGTGATTAAAGTCTAACTTAGCTGAGAAGTCCTTAGACATGAGATTCATCATTTTTTTATTTGACCAATTTTTCTACTCCCTCCGTTCTATAAAAGTGTTCCTATTTTGACTTTGTGTAAAAATAAGGAAGTGTTAAATTGTAGTTGACTTCCAACTTTGCCCTTGATGTGATGGGTAAAAGTAAGATGTGATGTATTGAGTATTAGAGAAAAAGTATGATGTGATAGGTAGGGTATGAAAAAGTAAGGGTAAAAGTGATTTTTTAATAGAAAGTGGAAGTGTTTTGTTGGAAGTAAAAAAAATAAAAGAGGACGAGTTTTTGAGAACGGAGGGAGTAGTTTTTTCCCACTAGTTTTTTATGTTCTATCCATCTCAAAATAAACATCTCATTTCGCAACGGGTAAACTTATACTCCCTCTGTCTTACGTGAATCTTCTCATACAATATTAACCTGTCAAACTTTTTATACTTTGTTTCCTTATTTTCGTTACTTATTTTATAACATAATTTAATCATGTCACAACTAATTTTGCAAATCTTTTGATTTTGTTTTTAAATATATACTCGTATAATTTTTGTTTTTTATTTTATATCTACAATCTAATAAATCAAATCGAAAATAAGGTCGGTCAAACATCATAACACAGACTGAGAAAATACAAATGGGACGGAGGGAGTATTTTTTTTAAATTTCTTTTATTTATAAATTGATATAGAATTAAAAAAGTATAAATTATTACATATTTTACATCAAAGTTCAATAAAATAAGATGTGACAAGAATATTTTTATCAAATAATTAATGAAAATATACAAATAAACAAAACTTATGAAAGTCGAGATAGTTACTGATAGGTGAATGCTTCTGAGTTAAGTGAATGCTAAATTTGAGAATGTGTTCCATGTTGATTAATTTCAATAGAGATGCATAATTAACATGTCCTAGTCTACTATGCCATAAACTCGAAGACACACACATAAACAATAAGATTTTTATTGATCTTTTCAGAAATAGTCATTACATTTAACTTTACAAGACCATCGAAAATATATTCTTTTCCTTTAAAAATCCCCTTTCTGGACAAGTTCATCTTATTTGATTCAAACACCATTTGGAAGGATCATCAATGACCCAAACACTAGATTCCTGCAGATGTCTGCACGTCATTTAGTGTTAGCTCCTTGCCGGAGGTTATTTTAAGCTTAATCTTTATAATACCTTGGACTTTGGATTGGCCAAGTTTCCCATCCAAACCGCGTCACCGGAGGTCTCTTGAAAGTCATGGAACATGCTTCGATTGAAGCAAATATGTCGTGTGGTTCCTATGTCCACAAACCATTCCTTCAGGTTTTACCCGACAAGTTTTACCTCTTTGGCAACCATACAAGGGTCCAAGTTGTCTAACTCTCTACAGAGAGCCTCATTTGTCTTCTTCTTGTTTTTTTAAGGCTTATTTTTCCTGCAGTCAGAGGAGCGATGTCCCGTAATGCCACAATTGTAGCATTTCCCCGCAAACATAGAAATGCCACCTTTAGGACCTAGTTTCTTCTTGTCCTTTCTACCATGTGAGGAATCCGATGAATGTTCTACCACATTCACCTTCGCACTTCCACTTCTCCTAGAAAGTCCTTCCTACTCCATCCTCTTGAGCTTTAGGCCCGCGCAAAAGTCTTCCCACGAGTGTGGAAGCTTGTGTATGATTGCCGCCACTTGGAAGGCCTCACTAACGCTCACCTTCTCTTCATTGCATTTATTGAAGATAATTGTGAGCTCCTCGGCTTGGGCGAAAGTGGATTTGTTGTTTGCCCTTTTGTAGTCAAAAACTTTTCCAACGATGAACTTCTTCGTATCGGCATCTTCATTTTGATATTTCTTCTTGAAGCGATCTCAAAACTCTTTTGCAAGTCTGGTGTGGAAATAGACGGGGTACAACGTCTCAATCAACCCCTCGAGGATGTAGTTGACACCTAGGTAATTATTATGATACCAGGTGTGGTTCAACATCGCCACAAGGGGGTCTCAATCATCGATCATCTCGGGGGGTTCTTACTTTTGGTACTCAGCAAAACTCAAGACCATCAAGAAGAACATCATCTTTTGTTGCCACATTTTGAAGTTTGTGCTATTGAACTTCGGTTGCGTCTTGACTGGCTTGGGGACACAGATATTGATCTAACTGTGTTAAGTGTGAGACAAAAAAAGGCTCGCTCCTAGTACAGTGTGGTCCCACGAATGGATTGACCGAGGGGTTCGTTGGTATATAGCCGATAGAATTCATCCCTAAGCTCTCGAACTTTGGGACTAGGGTAGGAGCCGACCCGAAGATCAAGCTCGGCATCAATAAAGAGGGCATGGTAGCGACCTCAGAGTGTAGTGGTGAGGAGGTCACTTCCAAAGTCGCGTCATCGATGTAGTTTCCGTCAGAGCTTCAAAACTCATTCCGTTGCTGGAGGAACCCATGATGCCAAATCTAAAATCCATTACACTACCTTAAGGTTGTTGTACAAAGATTACAGCGGGAGAGAAAAATAATAATAATCCAAACTTACAATGAAAGAAATAAAAAAAATATCGCTGGTTATCGGAAGTCGAACGAATAAGGAAAGCAGAGTCACCATAGCTTTCCAAGGTAGTATCGCCTGCCTCGCGCACTGGCTAACGTGGATGATCCCCTCCCAAGATAAAACTGCTAGCGTATAAGGTTTAGAGCGGTAGAATCGTGCATCGACAAACTGGAATGAACATAGAGTTACTTGTCAGAAAAGTGATCGGAAAACGAAGGAGAGTTGGAACGCAGAGAAGATTTCAAGTTTGAGTGTACTCCCTCACTGCAACTAGCTCTCCTTATATAGGAGAGGCTTGGCGATTTGGATGGATCGGGTGGACAACATGAAGAGTCACCGGAGACCTGTCACACTGCATGCATGCTTCATTTCTTCTTTAACATTTTGTTATTAACGTGTCCACACATGTTTAATTTGGTCTCTTAAAAAGATAAGAGTTGGCCCATCGGTTAAGAGTTTAAGCTCTAAAGAATAGATTTTTATCGTCTGATGTATGTGTCAATAAATAACATGAGGTCAATATTCTTGTTAAACTTTTACTATAATTGTCCTAGCACAAATTTTAAAGGGAGAAACAACAAAATAGGAGTACAATATAGAGAAAGATTCAAAATAATACTCTCATGCTTTTATCTCTAAAATAGAAAAAACGAGTTTAAAAAATTACACTGATCCATAAAAAACAAATCAATGTTTCAAATTTCTCACTGCAATGCCACAATGTTACTATTAATGTTTCACGAATCTACAATGTCAAAGACAATAATTCATATGGACATACATAACACGGCATAATGCTATACACAATGAAATTCCAAGAAACAATTTGAATTTTCAACAATCTCACGTTGGTATCGCACATCAAATTTTACCACAAAAAATTGTGATAATGATAAATTTAAGAAGAGAACTTTTTATTTTTGTTTAACCTTCTTTATGTTGCTTCTAATTACGATCTTGACAATCAAAATATTCAATATTTCAATCACGTTGTTTTTATACAATAAATGGATGAGAATGACTTTCCTAATGTATGACTTAAACTTTTTTATTCCCTAAATAGGACTTAATAATGACCTCGTGGGAGGAATAATGTTCAGTAATGCTAGACATTTACTTGAATAATGACTACTTGTTAATGACCAAAAGTCCTACATTGGGAAATAAAAATATATGGTTCTATATTGGGAAAATTGTTATGTTTCAGTCCTATTTAGGTAAATTTCTCATTAAATAATGCAATCTTATAGAGTCATTAGTTAACCAACTTTGTTGAATATTCCAGAGCTTGAGCCATGAATTTGTGTTTTAATTTTAAAGGGATAAAAACTAAATTAAAATTAAAATATATATGGAGAAAATATAAAAGTTGAAGTTACATGTTTTTTTATCTCAAAAATAGAAGTAAAATGCCAATAATATATAGTCCAAAAATATATAGTGAGATGTCACTATACACTACCGTAATAACACAATGCAGACTCTTGTTTTGAGATAAAAACATAAAACTCTGATTTTGAGGATAACAATTATGTTTTACTCATATTTGAGATGATTTCTTATCTTATAAAGGAGGCCCAAATAGCACGATTTGGAAAATAGGCATCAATACCCCTTATGACTTATGTTGTCAAAATATATTTTTAAAGTCCCGTGGTTTCAAAAGTTACACTCATACCATATCGGGCACTCATGCTCATTTCTTATTTTTTGTTCATTTTCTTGTTTTCCCCCCATTTTTTCCTTTATTGTTTCTTTTATTAGTCAAGGCTTTCTAATTTTTTAAAAATTGTGTTTATAATGTTCTTAAAATTTAAGATGATTTTTGTTTGAAAAAAATTAATAAACATATGTTGCATCTCTACGTCTAAAATTAACAACTTTTATTTTTTTATTTTTGAAATAAAAAAAGTAAAATAAGAGATGAGGAATAAATAAAGAAATAAAATAAAACAAAAAATAAAAATCCATATCCTTTATGGACATCCCAAATCCCAATTCCAAAATACTTTTTAAGCGTTCTGAAAATTCCTCTTTGTATAAGACCTTTTTGCATGTTTCAATTTTTTTCATTTCATTTTTCCATATTTTCTATTCTGAATTTCGTTTTTGAACTTACTCAAAAAAATATTTTAGAAAACAAAAAGTGAAAATGTTTAATAATTTGAGATAGATCAAGTATATGTTACGGAGTATTTTTTTATTTCAAACACAAAGAATTTCGAATTTTTAAAAATATTATCAGAATTTGAAATGAAATTCAAAAAATGTTTCTAAGAAAAGGAAACAAATACTTCCTCTGTCTCACTATATTTGTCCACTTTCATTTTTGTACACCATCCAATACACTTCTTTAATCCATTTTATCTTGTAATT